GGCCAAGAATACAACATCACATCAATCGTTGGTCCCAATTTTTGCCTCGATGTAGCAGCGTACGATAAACAAGGACCTCTTTACCTCAGCATGTTTTTCGCAATAACTTATGGTGTAGGCTTCGCTGCACTAACAGCTACCATTGTTCATGTTGCGCTATTCCACGGAAAATGATCGATTTTATCGTCTCCTTGATTTGGCACACCAGATGGCTAAGTTCTTATCCGTGGTTTTTCCTATTCAAGTTCTTACTCTCCTTCAAGCCAACTTATTGAGATTCAAGAAGTGCACTTTTTGTGTTGAAGGTTTTAGCCTGGTTTTATGACGGTAGTTCTTTCCATGTATGATGTCCATGAAACATGTTTTGGGTGTTAAAGAGATTGTGGATTGGTTTTGATGATTTACATGTTAAACATGCATCAAAATGTTGTAATATGATTCCATTTAATTCTCAGAAGCTTTATATATCATCCTAGGGCCTTAAATAGGTGTTTGGAATGAGTTTAGAAGAGATTCTTATGATAAATTTTGGGTTTGAATATCAATGGTAAATTGGTTCGATAATGTTCGTGTGTAGGCTAAAATCTGGATATTTGGTGAGGAAGTATCGATACCATATTCGTAGGGTATGAATATTGTTCCTCTAGTATAGATACCTAGGGTAATAGTATCATGTTCAAGCATAATATTCAAAATTTAAGGCTTCTTTGGTATCTATACTCAAGGGTAGTACCGATACGTAGTAGGTGAATGCAACCAGGAGTATCCATACTACGGTAATTTTATTCGACTTTTGGACTTATTTTGGTACTGATATCCTTGAGAGGTATAGATACCCTTGAGAGTAATATCAATACCTATATAGAGTTATCGATACTAGATAAATATGAAATCGAACCTACATTTGGTATCGATACCCAGGAGTAGGTACATGAAAATCTGGAAGGACCGCGGAAAGAATTTACCATAAAATTTTAAGATGGCACAGATCTAATATGGGTTGAACCCAGCTCGCTCTGGCTAAGTATACAACCTAAAAAAAAGTTAATTCATTTTAAATCTTCAACCACAAAAATGAAGAGAGAAATTTCCCCTTCTCTTTAAGTTGTTGATCAATCGTCTCTACTAGTTGTCGATCATCGTCATCGACCGATTATCGTTTGTCATCATCAATGGGACTTAAGTTTCATCGGATCGTTATCTTTTGATATCATAAGTTCAAATTTGACCTCTATTCCGTTAGAAAGTTCCTCTAACGACATATATCTGGTTGGGAACCTCTCAGTTACCTCTTTGTTGATCTCTCTCTTCTATTGTTGGCTAAGCATGAATTTGGAATATGTGATTCTCCTCATTAGATGAAACTTCTTCGTCATTTGGATCACAGATTGAATCATTTCTCACTTCCATGTTATGTCTCTAACGTTGTGATGACATTTCATTTTTTATTATTTTTATTAATTTTTAAACCTCCATGTAGGCACCAATAAATATTTTATTAATTTTATTTTTTTATTTTTTTCTGCTCTATACTCACCACCTTCACGTGTTCAATCTCCACCGCCATCGCTCAACCCAATTTTTTTCTCTAGTCGTTAAACCTTCAACAATATCATCAGAGCCGCATCTGGGCCTAGGCAGGAGCGACACCTAACCAGGGCCCAAATTTGTTATAATATGTTATATTTATAAAAAATAATTTTATATCAGTTATAGTTAAAGGGCTTAATTATTTTTAATACTTGTTATTAAGGATCTAATTTTTCTCTAATATTATTATTATGTGTTCATTTTTTCTAATTTATTTTTTCTAATATTTTTATAAGTGTCGAATTTTTTAACATTTGTTATTAAAGGCCTAATTTTTCAATAATAATTGGGGTTCAATTTTTCAATAGTTATTACTTGGGGCATCTTTTTAAATTTAGTTTATTTTCTATTATGAGTTCAATTTCCATTTTTTTCAATATTTGTTATTATGAGTGTATTCTTAAAATTTACTTTTTTTTAGTATTTGCTATTAGAGACTTATTTTTTTAATATTTGTCATTAGAGATTTTTTTTTAATATTTGTTATTATGAAGTTGCCCTTAATTTTTTTCAGCACTTGTTATTAGAAACAATTGCTTAAATAATGGTTTGTAACCACTAACCACAACAATGACCATTATGTAGTGGTAACAATATCGTCTGAAACCATGATATCTATAATCGTTACGTCCACAATAGCATATTTATTAAAAATTCAAACAACGATACTTGTAGTGACCACAATCATCTGTTATATCCGCAATAGCGATAAACACAATGGACTGAAGACACAAACACAGACTGTAATTTAAATTCCTGATTAAATGCCTAATTTTTAGGTTGCCGAAGGCCACCAAAATCTCAGAAACGGGCCTGAGTATCAAATAATCTAAATAAAATTCCAAACTAAATTTCAACAACCACACAATACCAAAATATGAATAAAAACTAGAAAAACAAGCAAAAAATAGGAAAAAGTCCTACCAAGTGATTGGAGCAGTGACTTGTTGAGAAGAGAGCATTTGTTGGTGATTGGTGATGACAACTTGATTAAAACTCGAGAAACTTGCCTGCTGTAGTAGGTTGCATAAGGAATAAATGTTGTCATTGGTTCTGGGATAAAAGGGCACAAATCAAAGTTATTTGGTTGGAGTTTTGATTTTAATTTTTGTGATTTTTGGTTAATTTCATGTAGATCTGGACTTAAAGATTAAAAAAAGGAGATGAGAAGTTTTTATTCGGCATCTGAATCAACATTAATGGTGACCGGAAAAATAGAGGTGGGGCTAGGCATGCGCAATGTGCGCGACGGAACAGGGTCTCGGAATAGCAAGGGCTCCAAAAAGTTCACAATGAGGTTATTAGTATTACCGTAGATGATTAAACTATCAAAAAGGAGCCCAAAAAGCTTTGTTCGAAGGAAGATATGGGAAATATCAATAATTAGTACTATGCTACAGCTGTAAAGCTTATCTCATTTTTTGGGGGTCTAACTCACTTTACGAAAAAGGGCCTCTTTTTAAATAATTTGCACAGGGCCTCCAACGTCCTAGTCCCGGCCCTACGGAAAATCATGGTAGTATCCGAAGGTAATGATATCAAAGTTGTGTTTTCGGCCAAAAGAACATCAGATTTGTGTTTGGAATGGTGATATACATTCGGTGATAAATTTTGGGGGTCATTTATCTCCAACGATGGTGACCGACGATGGTAAAAACAGTGCCCGACAAAATGGTCGAAATCTAGTTTTGTTCAGGTTGAGGAGAAGAAATGGAAGAATGAAGAAGAAGATGGAGAGAGAAGGAAATAGGAGAAAATGAAGAAAAAAATAAAAATACATTTTTATTTAGATCAAAACGACGTCGTTTTTATCTAAATTTAATTTTCTAAGGGATCCAAAAGTACGTCGTTTTGGTGTTGGTTGTCATGTCATAACAAAATTAATTATTTAACGGTGGGGTGACCAAAACAGAAGCAATTCAAAATTTAGAGAGTAAATTGAAAAAATTGAGAGTTGAGTGAACAAAATAGAAGAGAGAATAAAGTTGTCAAAAAAGGTGTAACCGTTTGTTTTTTCTGGGTGGTGGTGAAAGATATGTAGCAAATTCAAAGAAATGATGCATGGAGAAGACTTATTTGGACGATTGACTTTTAAGAGGAAAAGATCAAGTGACAAGGGGTTCTTCTGCTTCGGGTGCAACAACTATTGCAAGACAAATTGATAGGATGGCAAACATTGCCTTGTGAAAGAATTTGAAGTTCCGTTGGCATTGAATGAGTGAACACAATTCGACTTAATTTGAAAAATTAATTTTTTTTAAATTTAAAAAATTATTATTTTTTCAACATGAAAAAAATTTAATTTGAATTGACTTCGAATTGTAATTTCATAAACTTGACTTAATTCGAAAAAACTTTAAGGTCAAATCAAGTTATGAAATAACTCGTATACCTCAAATAACTCAAAACTTTTAATAATTAATAGATTGATTTTTAAGTTTGTATCGAATCCTTGACTTGGTATGAAATATGTTTAGCATATATTAACAAAATATGAAGAAATATATATGTATTATATATTATTATAAAAACCATTGAAATCGAAATTAAATATACCATAATATTATAAATATTTATAATAAAATTTAAACAGAAACTCAAAAATTTAACTTGACTTGATTCAACTTTTATAAATTTGGATAAAAATTCAAATAAAGTTCGAGTTATAAAACAAGACACATCAATTCAAATAATTCAAAATTTTTTATTCAATTTTACTTGATCGAATGCACACCTCGTAAAACCCGTCATGCTTAGCTAAGTGAAGAAGTAAAGGTGAGTTAGGAAAGAAAGAAGACTACTATAATTTGTGTGTGTGTGTGTGTGTTTTAGGGGTCAAAGGGTGCTAGATCAGTTCTCAAACTGCCACATCATACAACTAACGGACGTTAACCATCGACTTACAGTTTTGTTAGAAAACGATGACATTAATGACTATTTTATAACTTTTGAAACTTCAATGGAGAAAAGAGAAACATAGTTAAACTTTAGTGACCGTTGATATAGTTTACCCTAAAGAATCATGACTAAATTGGAATAAACCATAAACGTTGAGTAACTATTTGACTAATTAACCCTTAAAAATACAAGTAATTTTAAAACAATGGGTAAATTAAATGTTTAATAATTAAACTTTCAATTCTTTCAAAACCACACTTAACGTATAATTTTTGTTTTATTTTAATATCTCATTAAAAACTTAACATTAGATTTTGAATTTTTTTAAAGTTTAGATACTTACGAACCAAAACTGATAATTTAAGTACTAAACGAGTTAAATTTTCAATGGCGGGCACTAAAATAAAACAAAAACTAAAAATTAGATATGTTTTTTTAATACTAAAGATTAGATATGATTTTTTGAAAACTAAATATTATATATGATTTTTTTAAAAATTAAGAGTTGAAGTACTAAAACAAATCAAAACTGATAATTTGAATACTAAATACATAATTTGCCATAAAATAATTGAACCTCGGTAAGAATGAGTTGAAATTCCAGTTCCAAAATTGAGTAAGAATATACAAAGGTTGAACCCGAGTGATAGCCCTAGTGGATGTTGGGCTGCCCTTCCTTCGAAGAGGGTGTCATAGCATTCTCATGCGCCTTAGAGTTTTGGCAGATGCTTTGGAAAATAAGTACCCAACACCCAAACACATCACCCAAATGCCCACGTCAAAGGCCCAGCTCACTTCCTCCGCCGCACCCGTACATCTCCTCCGCCCCACCACAATCTCCTTCCATACCCCCACCGTACGCTTCTGCACACTCGCAACAACACACGCCGTCGAATTCACTCTCCTCCGGAATATCCTCTAGCCGATCAAAACCAACCCTCCTATTCTTCCTCGCAACCATCTCGACCCTCTCTCCCATCGCCACGTCTCCGTCCACCTCCACGCACACATCCGCCACCGCCCCTTCACCTCCGACCGTTTTCGCGTCCCTCGTCTCCAGAGCGCACTTGCACTTCATCTTCCACTTCTCCTCCTCTCTTCTGAAAATCCCTTTCAACACTTTCTCCTCTCCCGAATAAACCTCGAACCCGACCCCATCACCGACCCGAACCCGCTCCCGGCTCCCGTATATTGCTTCTCCGTTCCGAGACCTCACGTTAACCATCCGGTGGAGAACCAATAACGCGGAGGAATCAGACCGCATGGTGGCTCCGGAAACTTCAAGCGCCGATTCGTTGATTCTTATTGGGAAGAGCAGAGTGAGTGAATTGGATAATGGACCCTTACAAGAATCAAAACCCGATAGCCGAACGAAAAAAGCTTTGATTTTTAATAGGTTTTGATCGGCGCACCGGAAGTTGTAATAATCCGTAGACCTACACATTTTTTCCTGGTGTCATAGATAAAATCGGAGGGATTGACTTTTATACTCAAAAAAGTAGATGAGCTGTGGAGGCGGCTGAATAGACTTGGTTTTGAAGAATCAAACCAGTGGCGGGAACTCGGTTTTGAAGAGTCAAACCAGTGGCGGGAACACGGTTTCTGATGCTGGCCTAGATAAAACGACAAACATGTTTTGTTTTGATATTGTCAAAGTCACTATTTTGGAAAATTTATAGGGTAAACCACGTATTTAGTACATAAACTTCAGTTTTGATTCGTTTAAATACCTAAACTTTCAATTTTTCTTTCAAACCATACTTAAAGTTTAATTTTTATTTATTTTAGTACTGGTAGTTAAACACTTTAGCTTTTGTTTCATTTTAATACCCCGTTCAAGATTTAACATTAAGTTTTGAAAAAATAAAAAAATTTAGGTTCTAAAATAGACCAAAACTGATAGTTTAAGTACTAAACACGTTAAGTTTTTAATAACAAGAAACTAAAACGAAATAAAAATAAATAATTAGGTATTATTTTAAAAAATTAAAAGTTTAAGTACTAAAATAGACTAAAATTGATAATTCATGTACTAAATACATATTTTACCAAATTTATTTATAAAACCCTACATTTTAGGGTAAACATGTTAACTACTTAAACTAATACTTTGTTTTGTTTTGGTATTCAATTTTTTTAAATTATATCTAACATTTAGTTTAAGTTTTAACTTGATATCCACCATTAAAAAATTAATAAAATTATTGAAATAATATATTTTTATTTTTTTAATAATGACATAACATTATCTTATGATATGTCAACATCACTATTAAATTTTTAACGTGCACTAAAATGAACCTAAATAGAACATTAGGATTTTGAAGGAAAAAAATAGAGCAAATAGAATAAAAATAACAGTTTATATAACAAATGTAGTTTACCCTGTATTTTATATAACGATTCCGGTATAGGTTTAGGGTTGGGTTATCTTAAAATTTTTCGTTTTCTAAAACATGATAAGATAATTGCCCTGATATATACTCAATTAATTTGATTGTGCTACAAGTATTCTTTAGGTTATTATAGAATGGAGTAATATTTTAGAGCAATCAGGGTGATCTAGCCTTTGCATTTTCTGTTACAAAAATTTCAAAGCATGGTCCGTGGACAAAAAAAGTTGTAGCTGCCGGACCCACGGGCAGGCAGTGACCTTGGCCCTGCAAATTATGAGTATTGCCTGCTAATCCCTTTAAAAATAATGAAATCTGAATTAAATATAATGGTAGAATTACAGTTTACACCCACAAGTTCGAAGTTCCTACATATAATGGTAAAATCCATGAGGGTGTGGAAACAAACTAAATTGTACAACGTACCGTATGAGCTGAGATGCGTGGTTACTAAATCAAATAGAGTTGAAGTGTGTAAAACTAATCAGTTCTGCATAGCGTAAGCATATCGACTGTGATACCAAATAAATAATTTGACAGCGAAGTTAGCATAACAGTACAGTATTTGATGATATACAGGGCAAGTCACAAATTAGATCCTACGAAAACAGAAGGCGTGCCAGATAAACCAAACAAAATATGAAAGCTCGATCCGTAAACAATAATTAGCCCGTAATGATACCTGCCCAAATATCAGTCTTACCTCGAGCATAAATTGTGTAAACTAAGCGTATGGCGTCAAGCCATCCATCTAGTGATTCCCACGAGTCGGCTACCTGAAAGACAGCATAAAATACTCACTAAAGCTGGACCGCCATACATGCATATATTCGTAAGATTGCATCCAAATGATAAACATGTGGCCTATCTACCTAATATTATAAGGTTTTCCATCGGTATGAAAGAAATCATTCATTCAGTGAGATTCAAGAGGAAATTTTTTGAATGAAAATCAAGAGCATTTTACTTACCAAGAAAACCGGACCAGAGGTGGTATCGATGCAGAGGCCTGCACCATGTGGTAAAGTCAGATCAGCGCATGCTGATACAGAAACAATATCGGGAATTTCCACTCTTATAGCCTTTTTGTCGATATTTGTTACATCTATAGTTCTGCCAGAGAGGCTTCGGGAAACTTGTTTGTGATCCACCCTGCTGACCTGCTCAATTGGAAAATAGAAAACATGGAGAAAATGAAAGTCTGAACAGAGATGTGGCATTTAACTGGTATAGGTTGAGTTGACTACCAAAGCAATTAGACAAAAAAAAAAAAAAAAAACTAGCAGCACAAACTAGAGATGAACACTATAATTCACTCCAAATTCAAAAGGAACTTAAAGAAAGACAAACAATTTTTTTTTACCTGTTGAAGAGCTTCATGATTCAAGAAAAACTCTGTTCTCTTCCAAACACTATGAGGTGCAATTGAATTTCCAACTGGTGGTGCAGTAAGATACCCATCTTTAAGATGGGGTAAAGGCAACTGTCGAAATTTGATTTTAGTTGGGCATAATATAAAATGTATTGTGCAGCTATTTCAATTAAGAATGTAATGACGCCCTCAATGACTATGAGTAGGCTCACATTCATGCCAAAGGAATATTATTTGAAAAAGTATTGGATTAGGTATGTAGCTCTTTATTCGGAAAGGATATATTGCATCAAAACAACAGTTTCTGGTGCAGCTCAAACAGTTAGTTGTAGCGCACTGATAATGACAGTCTAAAACAGCTCCGAAGAGGTGAAGACAGACATGAACCGTAGAACACGTTTTACATCAAAAATACTACTATAAAATTAAAATAATCCAGGAAAGGAGCAAGAGATTGTTCTCGTTGCTAATAGACTCAACACTGCTCATGGAAGGCTCGATCAATCTAAAAAAATAAAACAGAAAGAAATGTTGAAAGATTAAATACTGACCATTGAACGTACAAGCCTCAAGGCACTGCTGTAAACCTGTATGTTTTTAAAACATCAAATAAGAACATAATCACACACACACACAAAAGCACTAAGATGGGAAATCAAATTGCAGAACTCTGAAACTTTAAATTAAGGAGAAAATTAATTATAACATTAGCTTTCTTTATTACACTTTATGTTAAGAAAAAGCATTCATGAGATAAAATTTCATTAGCCAATAATTGTGCCACATAAATAGCCTGTCGTACAGTAAACCTCTCTAGTCTGGAACAACACACAGATCTCTTACCGAGTAATTTGGTTTCAGTGAATGAGCAGCAGCAATATATATAGCAGACTGGCTATACAGCTCATTTGGGGAAACTTCACTCAGATTTGGGGAGCCTGTTCTTAAGGTATCCTCAGCTAGTCCATACTGCAATTAAAAATAAGATATTTCAAGTTACAAATCTATGCTTCACTCGTATGAAAGTTCACATAAGGAGGTCATTATCTAAAAAGAAATGTATCAAAGGTGAGAATAGGATCATGCCATCCAGTTTAAGAACTAGTAATAACCAACAAACTCACCAAAACAGTTCCAAGGTTGTATATTGCTCGATGGAAATCAAACTGCAACTGTATTGCTGCACGGAACTGCATTAGAAATAAAGGGTATTGTAAAAATACAAATGCAGTGAGAGCTTATTCTTCTAGGACTCGTTAGATGTCAAATTACTTTGCTGCTAGTTAATATAGTCATCTGATCAGCCTGATATTTCCAAATGACTTTTGTACCTTCCTAATTGCAATCCTCACAATTTTTTGCTTCTCTCGAGCTGGAACAATTGCACTGAGTTCCTAAAATGAAGGCATGAAAGTAAGTATAATATTCTAGAACTCCATAGAAGCAGGCCCAGAAATTTGGAAAATATGGAGATAAATGAAGCTGATTATAAATAATAATAACATCACTAAAATAGTTCACCTGAAGAGCGAGTCCCCAATTGTTTAGTGCCTGAAAGAGAAATAAGAATCCTTAAAATCACTAAGAGAGAGGATAAAGTGAAGAGTGGAGTAGTTCTAGTTAGCAAAATTACAAGACTAAAAAAACAGTTAATTCAAATATACCTGGGGGCTATTCCAGTTGAGTTGGACAGCTTTTCATAGTTTTTTGTTGCCTGAAAAACCATAACGGTAAGTTAGGCTCTATGAAACCAAAGACAAGGTATTTATCACTACAAAAAGGCATTTCTTAGAGGAGGCCAAGGGTTTCCATGCAGCACTACCACAAGGACAATGTGTTTCAGAACTAAATTCTAGAATGACTACATACCAAAATTCCACGGAAAAACCACTTCCATAGTTCCTTGGCCTTAATAAATAGATTGTATAATAACAAGAAGCTATCATGAAGCATAAACAGAATAAGAATCTTATCCATGCAAGGAAAAGGTTTTCATAACAAGATACTAACTGAAGAACCATAACAAGATACTAAGATTTGCCTTCAAAGGACTACTATTTCATACAAATCTATCACGATTGAAATACCAAAATTATTTAGTAAGAACCTGCTCCAGAGTTCTTCAGCCTCTTTGGTCCGACCACGCATTTTTGCTCGATCAGATATTGCTATTGCCCAGTTGTAGAAAGCCTGTTAAGCAACAACATTGCAACAAAGGAAAAGAATATCAGTAAAAATATACTATACATACTCATCCATATATGGGAACATATATGCATTATGCATCTCTACACTTATTTTTCTTGTCTATCCAGCTTCTTATATGGCTTATGCATTCTGCATCTACACTATTTCTTGTCTATCCTGCTTCTTATATGGCTTATGCATTCTGAGAAGTCATCATGCCCTTGTAATTGAAAACGAACTAATCACAATTCTCAGTGAGTTGAACAAGAACTCATACATCATGAAGTGTTGGAAGAGAGATGAGTAGCCTCATCATACTTTTACAAGCCTCCTCTAGCAAGGCATCTTTAGAAGGCGAAGTAGAATCTGGACTAACATATCTGCACTTTCTGCAAGACAAATAAGAATCCCATGGACATAATGAGAAATGTAATATTTTGCAATGATTACATATTTACATTCACAAACTTAAGCAGGAAGTTCTAGCAGTATAAAAATAGGACATGATATTCATTTTGAATGATGTTAAGATAACAATATCAGAATGAACCAGCATCTCAAACCTGAAGAACCAATGCCCAGTTGTAAAGAGCATCATAATCTTCTGGGTTTCTCTAGCGCAGTAGCATACCTACAAAGTTAGACTTAAAATTAGTACTACAGAATAGCAGAATCAAAGAAGCAACATATCAGGTTCAGTATGAATAATAAGTGTGAAAAGTGTATAAAACAAGATGATGGTACCTCTTAGCAGCATATACAAGAATCCGTTGGCGAGACCTGCCTTCCTCATCAGTACCAGTGACACTATTGATCAACTCCATTACAGCATTGTTTTGGTAGGATTGTCGTTGTCTGCTTTCTTGACTGAAGCATATATAAATCATGGAGTAAAAATGATATCATTGTCGAGCAAAGAAACATTATAAATACAAGAAGAAACAAGATGATACATATTTAGTTATTTACTCCTACAAGACCAAGAAACCTTTAGTGCATGAATGGCGGCATGAAAAATAATATAAACTGCATTCTACAGACTGCAAGATCCCAAAATCAAGGACTCCTTAATCAAAGTTATAGAAAGCGTAAGATACAGTTACTGCCGCACATGAAGTTGAGAACAAGCTGAAAGGCTCACATACAGCAAAACATACATGATTAGATTCTAACAATTAGGTTCAAGAGTAATGAAGACTGAGATCGGAGAACAGTCGCTCATCCGTGCAATAATTGAAGACGGACTCTTAGTTTAACAGAACGAGTACGCCTAGATGCATCTAGAAGTTTGTGTGAAATAGCCTAATTAAGGAGACGAGTCAACAGAGAATGCCAAAGATCCAGAGGTTTCTACATTCAAAGCTCGTTATATCCAATAACGAATTAAGGAGAGTAATTTTTTTATCTGAGACTCGAAAAGGATGAGGGGAAAGAGTACCTGTAAGGAGAGCTTGTATCATCTTCGTCGCTTTTCAATTCACTTAGCAATTCTCTCATAGTGAAAGTCCGATTCTCTTCATCTTTACGCAGCCCCGGACGAGCAACTTGGTCGGTGGTTGCTTGGATCGAGCTCTCTGTGTCCGGCGTCGGCTTCGGCTCGGCATCAGTTACCCCCGGTTCCGATTTCAATTCCTCAACCGGTTTCGTTTCTGATTGTAATTCAGGCAGAGATTCCACTTTCAAATCCGACTCCGGTTCGGGTAGTGGTTGGAAACCATTCTGAAGTTCGGATCCCTGAGTCGTTTCGGACATAGCGTCGAACGAGAGATTTCCGTTCTACGCCGAAACGGAATCGAAGAAGATCTAAAGGTCTAAAGCTACCAAGAAGTACCTTCAGTAACCGTAAAACATGATATACCGAAGAAGAGGGATAATATTGTTTGGCTAAACTATGCATTTAGCACTTAAACTATCAGTTTTTATCCGTTTAGTATCTAAACTTTAAATTTTTTTAAAACAATTCCTAAAATTTAGTTTTTATTTCATTTTAGTACCCACCGTTAAAACCTTTAGTTTATTAAAGTTTAGGTACTAAAACGGACCAAAACTAATAGTTTAGACACTAAACGTGCTACGTTTTTAACAATGGGTACTAAAATGAATGAAAACTAAACGTTAGATATGATTTTAAAAAACATTGAATGTTTAGATATTAAAATTGACCAAACTTGATAGTTTAGCTATTAAATATGTAGTTTACCTTTTTTTTTATAAAGTACACAAATGGTCCACCGATCATGTGATATTGTTTTATTAAGTCTTTTAATTATTAAAAGTTATAAAATGATTCTTCTATTATAGGGCATCATTTTTTTAATCTCCGACTATTAAAAGTTACAAAATGGTCACTTGACTCATTATGTTCTAAACTCGTTCTTTCTGTTAAAGTATTGACGTTCACATGAATTAATGTTAACTTATTAATTGAGATATGATAAAATCTGATCTCGTAATTGTTTTAACCGTTGTATTTTGTTGACTATTAAAACAAGCGAGGAGTGTTAAACCTAAGGTCTTTGATTGCAATGTGATTAAGTCCCTAGAATTTTCATGACGCTTTGGATAGTAATGAATGGCCCATGGGCGGAACATTTCGCGGCCAAGACTCTCCTTGACCATGTTAATTATATTTTTTATTACTAATTAATATAAAAATATATATTTTTAAACAAATAATAAAGAAAAATTATCAATCTCCCTTAATTAAAAAAATTATATTAGTAGAAAATAAATTTAATCTATATTATAATAAATTCTTAGATTCGTCCATGAATGTCAATGTTATTATGGATGAGTATAGTGCTTTGTTAGCCAATAACACGTAGAATCTGCTAAAGATGTTAGATGATTGAAGACATTGGTTTCAATTATCTATTCAAATTAAGAAAAGGGTAAAGTATATAAATAGTCCATAAAATTTTAGGATATTTGCATTTTGATCACATAATTTTTAAACTTTCAATATAATCATCAAACTTTTAATTCGTTTTAAATAAGATATTTATCGGTATATTCTATTAATTTTTTCTGACATGACAGTTAACTGATATTGACTCTTCTCTCTCCTCCTCCTCCATTAAAACAACTTTTTAGAATCTTTTACTTACTTGTTTCCCCATCTATCCTTCCTTTATTTCCTTCATCTTCATCAACATTTTCAATTTCAAGAACTTCATAATCTATATACTTCCAGCGCTGATGTTTAAGCTGTACAAAATGCAAAGAACAAATTAAAAACACAGTAACCCACCATTTTAATGAGAGCTCACACTTTCATTCTTTCAATTTAAAATATTAGTTACTGTGCAAAATACAAATCCAAGAAATCTCACAGCCAAAACCAAAATGAAAAACAAAATCCATAGCACTTTATCCATTAAAAAAACCCTCAAAATTAGGAGAAACCCATTTCAGAAAAACCCTCATTTTCTGTGATTGTCCATCTCCTTGTGAAAGGTGGGTATTCTGATTGTTCTTTCAAAAAAGGTTGGTGATACTGATCACTTTGAATCCAGAAACTGGTTGTAGATTCCATAGTCTCTTTTGGGCTTCTGAAACTGACGGTCTTGAACTACAGAACAACATCGGTTATGATCGGCATTTTACCAAGCTCGTTGCCGTTCGCACTGCTCAAATGTTCATCAACTGCAGCGAGTTGTTCATCTGAGAGGAGAGCTTGGAGATCAGCTCCGCTAAATCCTTCTGTCATATACGCTATGGGGTCTAAATCGACATCACTGGCAAGCGGCAGCTGCAATGATTGTGTAAAAACAAAACATTACAAAGGAAAGAAAACTGAAACATTCAATCAAGTTAAATTTCTAATTCCTTATGTAGCAAATCGTTTAAAATAGATTATATCCATGTCAGACATACCGATATCCGACATTCTTCCCTTAATCTAAGTAACAATGCTACTACATGTGATTCACAGAACAAAAAAAAAAGAATAAAGACTAGAAATCGCGGCATAGAACATTATCAGTGATCAGTATCACTATCCTTTCTTGAAAGAACAGTCAGAATATCCAACCTTTCACGAGGAGGTGAAAAATCATAGAAAAGGAGGGTTTTTCTGAAATGGGTTTCTCTTTATTTTTAGGAGTTTTTTTTTAATGAATAAACTGCTGCAATTAGTGGGAATGGGTTTTTTTTTCGTCTTGAAATGGGAAGTGTAGATGAAGATGATGAAGGAATTAATTGGAGGAGGAGGAGGAGGAGGTAATTAAGTGTTACGTAACCTTGTTAAAAATGAATTAAAAGTTCGATGATTATAATGTAAGTTTTAAAAGTTCGATGATCAAAATAAAAATACCCTAAAAGTTTGAGAACTATTTGTAGATTTTACTCTTAAGAGAAATGTGGATGGGACTATGAATATAAGGCATGATTATTGGTAAAGGACTATTCTCAAGTCGCAGGACACAATTTTACTAATACGTTTTATCCAATAGTTAAATCATTATCTGTAAATGTGTTGATCTCCTTGGCACTATATTGGGGTGTGTATTTCTTTTCGATATTAGATATTAATCGATCTAAAATTTTGGATATTCGAAATTTTGATTCACTAAAATCAGGTAAAAATATTAGATGTCTATGTACAACTCAGAAAATAAACTCAATATGGCCCTTCGACTAACGTTTTTCATCGTTTGACCGTTATGATACTGATATAGTAGTTCATGGTACTATCATGATGGTTTACAGTACTGACGTGACAATCTATTTGCCATGTTTGAGTTATTAATTTAGCTCATCTTTTATGGTATCTGTCACATTATCAACCACGTGGACTACCACATCAACACCGTGGACTACCGTGTCAGCACCGTGAACTTTCACTTCAGCACCATAATAATTAATGTCTAAAAATGTTAGTCAAAGGATCACATTGATCTTATTTTCTGAGTTTGAGGGACACATTGAGAGAAAAACTAATTCAAGGGCCACATTATTTTTTTAAAGTACAGAAACTCTAATGCCTTTTTGACCTAAAATTATGATTCAAACCAGATCTGTAGGATATCCAAATTTTCATATTGAATATCTAAATCCAAACATGAAAAATTTACAAAAAAGTTATATCTAAATTTTATATTTTGTGGCTTTACTCAACATCCTAGGCTGTGGGTTTAATACCCATTAAGAGCAAAATTTGTCTTTCCCTTCCTTAGGACTTAATTGTTAAAAAAAATATTGATGCAAAATAAACAATTAAACATCTTAATTCTTCTATTCAATATTAAAGAGGTTCAAAATAAACGTACTTATCAAGTTAGAGACTATCAAGATTCTAAAGACTTAATTTTAATCGGATTTTCAGATAATCTAAAATTAGAATTCAATCAGAGTAATACCTTAGACCAGTACGATACACAATCGACCAATTAGGGTTCTACACAGAACCACCGGAGTGGCTAACCCAAAAATTTTCTTATTTCTCTTGCTTTAAAACGACTATAATTAAAAGAAAACATCATAAAATATAGCTTAAAACTTTACACTAGGGAGCTCCCAAAATAAATATATATATATATTCCAAAATAATTACAAACCAACTTTAAATTGAATCTATGACTAAACTTTACAATAAGGTTTATAAATATAAACCCCCTTCAAAACCACTAAGACGTACTTTAATATGTTCTGTTCTGGACCTCGATCACTCTAAAGCTTCCTGATTGTACCACCTAATCTACGTAAGGAAACAAATTCCAAAATCTGAGCTAACTAGCTCAGTGCCACACTAACAACTAGATCATACTAAAAGTGTATCACTGAAAGACTCAGGCTATCAAGTCTATTGCTTTGCTTTAGTGAGTATACTTGTATACTCACGCTATACTCTATAGTAGACATCATGGTGCGACTGAGGGTTCTGTATCTCGAAGCTCACACACCCCTCTAGTCTACCGAGGATAGGACCCCTGGAATCTCTGCATCAGACACCACACCCTCGATTAACTCACCCCTTGCGAGTGTCAGGCCTTGGCCTTAGTTAGTCAACTTAAAGTTCCTTGTGCACTCCATAAGGATATCCAAACTGAATCTAACTTTTGACACTACTAGTCCTGGTTGTTTCCCGAACATAAAACAAGGCCAGTCTTATTTCATCATTTTATCTCGTTTCTACGTTTGAAATAATCATTAATATTGTTCTCACTTGTAGTCTTATGTGGGAGTAATTATAAGCTTTTGGAAAACCTCACTTGTAATACCCCAAATATCGGGTCAGAGATTATAGTGAAAGGATTTAAAAGTTGATGGGTTAATTTGAATAAATTAAAAAGTACAATGATTGATTTAGGAAATTGTGTTTAAGACTTATTAGTAAGAAGGAAGGGGCATTATGGTCCTTTAGAAGGAAATGAATTTAATATTTTTTAGAGATATTTAAGTGTTGAATAGGGGAATAAGAGGATAAGTCTGAAAATCTACTCTTCTTCTTATTCCTGTCCCCGTACTCTCCATAGCAAAGGTAAGATTTTTTCAAGTTGGGTTTTCCTTTCGTTTTTAGGTTGGTTTTGAAGTCTTAACTGATATAGAGGCTTAAGGAAAGTTCAAGGATGATTAAAACTAAGAGATTAGTAATTTATTAGTGATTTAAGAAAATGAATTTTTGAGTGTTTTGATGAAATATGGTCAGTTATTGGAGTTTAAAAGCATTTTTGACTTGTCAAATAAGTAAAATAAGAGATTTGAAGCATTAGAAGTGATTAAAAACATGTTTTAAAATTTGGTGTGATTCTTAGTTTTGAGTGTTCTTTGGAGATTTTGGATGATATAAGGAGATTTATGGGTGTAAGTTAGTTGGGATAAGTGATAATGAGATTA